CCCAACGACGACACCTCGACGAGCTTCACAGCACACAGCTAGCTAGCACTGGAGCTAGATTACGAGAGCAGGCACTCACAAGCCGAACAAAGTTGGGCAGAGGCGCCGACTAACTCTCCTCCAATACTGGCTGAGGCGCCAGCTACGCCTCACGCAGTTGCTGTTTTCAGCGACGAAGATAGGGAGTACGCCATCTGTCTCGAGCCCTTCGTCCACGGCGCGTAGGCTGCGCGACTACAGCGCCGACGCATCTTGCACCACGCATGCCACATATAGCTCATGCAGAGCACCGACACCATGCAGCTTGGTGACCTGCCCGGCGCGCCGCAGCCCGGCCGACGTCTTCGCCGACCTCCGCTTTATCGGCGCAGATCGCACACGCACGGGCCCGACACCTGGCGGTGGCCCGCAATGCGCCGGCTAAAGACGCGCCGCAGGAGACACCACCACAGAAAGACACAGCACCCCTTCCTCGTCCAGCTCCAGCACCTGGAACACCGCGGCAGGATCTTCTGAAATCTCCACGCAGCGCCTCCAGTTTCGCGTCCGCGGTAGGTACGCCAGCACCCTACGGCGCCCACCTGGACTTCCACATGCCTCCGCACAGGCCCACATTACACGGGCCTGCACTCCCGCGGTGGCCGACTTCGCCAGGCACTGGCCCGAGCTCCCAGGACGACTCGCCGCGCCACCTTGCAAGCACATCACCACTTTTAAGCGGCCGGCTCGGCGCATTCGTCGACAAAGGCGCCAGGACCAACCTCTGGGGCACGCGATTCGCCCAGAACACGGCCTGGCGAGCCATGCAGGCGAAGCTCCAACCCTCGGAGGAGAGCTTGTCCGCTCCACTGTGCGCGACAGGAGTGGGCTGCGGGCCACAAGTGGCGAGCTGGAAAAAGCAGTGCCGCATCGCAACGCCATCACGCGACGGCGTGACCATTCAGCACAGCATGCGCGCCCTGGCCGTGGAGGGCGCAGGCGACATTCCCCCTGCCCGATTAGGTCTGCAAGCCGTGCAGTCCAACAACGGGGCGGTGGAGACAGGCGTCAACCACAAGCGCGCCCCCTTCCCCAGACCAGGCGGCCACGAAGTCACACAGAGCCCAGGCACGACACGCTTCGACCTGGAGTCCGTTCCGAGCGGGCAACGTTGCATCCCATTCGACAACTTCGGCGAGCTCCAACCGCACTCCGGGGGCCTGCCGCTTAAGCAGCTCACGCCGCCTGTGGTAGGCAACGGCAGGCAGGTCCACCACGACGCCGACGGACGAGAACTCAACAAGCTAAAGGTCCAACTTCGCAGTCCGAATGCGAGAGCCCCTACACGAAGCACCACCAGCTCCGCCTGCTACGACTTGCACGCCAGCTCCAATGCAAGTATCCCGACCTGTGGTCGGGAACTGGTACTCACCGGAGAAGCAGCAGTAGCACCACCAGGCGCACGCATACACATACATGTGCATTGCCCTACGTTCAGGTTTCGCGCTGAAGGCATCGACATCACCGGCGACGCGGTGGACCCCGACTACCGCGGGGAGATCAAGGTCACCGCGTGCAACACCACCCCGTGGACCCACGTGGTCGAGCAGGGCCATCGCATCGCCCAGCTCATCGTGGAACGACACAGCGACGACATCGAGATCGTGGTTGTTCCCAAGTTACCTACATCTTCCTGGGGATCGGACACACACGACACCATACCGAGCGACGCGGCCATCCCGACTTCCGAGGGTTGGGCGGAGGAGCCGACCCACTAGGGAATCGCAGGGGGCAGCAGGCCTGGGACGCACCGCCTGGGTCCCAGGACGGGAACGGGACACATCACAGGCACTGCAGGATCACGGCTACGACGTCATCCGCCACACCGACCTCGGTAGTGCAATCTGGTCGCTATCCGACACCACGCTTCCCATCACCAACTGCAGCATGTCGTGGATCATTTGCGACACAAACAAGGACCTGGTTCACCACGTCGTCGACTCCTTGCCCAGTCAGTGCGCCCGCGTGGAGGACGCAGGCACCAGGATCAAGATTGCGAAGGCCTTACGGCCGGTGCCGCCGACCCTGAAGACGACGAAGATGAAAACGAGGGTGAGGAGGAGCAGGAGGAGGAGGAGGAGGAGGAGGTAAAGGAGGAGCAAGAAGAGGGGAGCAAGGGGGGGGGGAGGGGGAGGAGGAGGAGGAGGAGGAGGGGAGGAGGAGGAGGAGAGAGGGGAGGAGGAGGAGGAGGGAGCAGGAGGAGGAGGAGGAGAGAGGGAGGGGGAGGAGGAGGAGGAGGAGGAGGAGGAGGAGGAGGAGGAGGAGGAGGACAGGAGGAGGAGGAGGAGGAGGAGGAGGAGGAGGAGGAGGCCCCCGGGGCGGAGTCGTATCTGACCCCCCCCCACACACACACACCCCTTACCCCCCCGGGGCCCCCGTCCCCCCCCCGGCGGGGGAGGGATCAAAGGGAAGGAGCCTCCCTTTGACGTGGTTGCGACGTGGGTCGATGTCCCTCAAGGCCGCCAGAACACTGCAACGACGACGACGACGACGACGACGACGACGAGGACGAACAACCCCTCACACACGCCGACACGGGGTCAGCGGATTTTTCGGCGCGCACGACCCACATTGGAGTCGTCCCGCCGCGAAGCAGAGGACCGACACGAACGTGCTCCACGGCAGCAGGCTTCGAGCATGCTGCACTTACGTCGGGCCTGTCCCCCTACAGGGGGATTTTCAGAAGACCCCCAGAAGGACAACAAATACTCAAATTATCCCAGTGCGACCCTACCTAGGAGTTGGAGCCCCTAGGAAAGCAGCACTAGTAGTAACAGTAGAGCTGAGCTACATCTAAGCTAAAGCTAAGCTAAAGCTATGCGAAAGCTAAGCTGAAGTTAGGCTAAAGTTAAGATAAAGCTAAAGTAAACTAACGCTAAGCTAAAGCTAAGCTAAAGTTAAGCTAAAGCTAAGATAAAGCTAAGCCAAAGCTAAGCTAAAGCTGAGCTACAGTTCAGCTAACATTAAGCTAAATATATGTTAAAGCTAAGCTAAAGTAAGTCAAAGCTAAGCCAAAGCTAAGCTACAGCTAAGCTAAAGCTAAGCTAAAGCAAAGCTCAAGCTAAGCTCAAGCTAAGCTCAAGCTAAGCTAAGGCTAAGCTAAAGCTAAGCTAAAGCTAAGCTACAGCTAAGCAAAAACTAAGCTAAAGCTAAGCTAAAGCTAAGCTGAAGCTAAGCTAAAGCTAAGACAAAGCTAAGTCGAAGCTAAGCTAAAGCTAAGCTAAAGCTAAGCTAAAGCTAAGCTAAGCTAAAGCTAAGCTAAAGCTAAAGCTAAAACTCCCAGGGGACTGGGGGGAACCGCTCCCAGGGGACTGGGGGAACCGCCCGGGGCGATTTCCATTGCCCGGCCCCTTTAAGCTAAGAGAGTAAGAACCCTTCTAGGCAGAGCCTAGGTAGGGAAAAATAGTCCCCAGCCTATTTTGGTATTATTGTTTGATTATGTTTGGGGTATCTTTTATTTTTCGTCGAAAATCCCCCTGTAGAAAACAGGCCCGACCTAATGCTACACACCTCTAGCTTTTTGGGGGCTGAACACAGCATGATTGCGTTCACGATGCTCACCTGTGCCCGTGCACCTCACCAGTTGTGCAAGCGCGGCATTAGGCTGGAGAAGGACGTCAGCGATTGGACGATCACGAACCCCAGGGCGCATCCACGTGCTCTCTTGCGCCCCTCCCTGGTGCTCCTTCCCCGAGATCCGACGTCTTGAAGAATGGCGGACGGAGCTCCTGGACCCCATTGTGCAGTCTCTATCTCTCTCTCTCTCGGCCCAGGCCGATCCCGATTGGGACCGTCATCTGGGCCCCAACCGCAGTTCACGAACGCGGTCTCAGCGCTAACGCAGAGCAGCCAATCCCGTCAAGCTGGCCCTGGTCTGGGGAGAAAGCGGAGCCGATCCCAATTTTCCGCCCTCCGATGCCCTGGTGTTGGAAGTCACTTCGCGGCTTGCCCCATTTCGCTACGTGGCCCTGGCTGACTCGGGAAACTCCCGTTTTGGTTTTGTTCGCGTCGCCAAGATCCGCGGGCAGTGAGGCGGAGAGGACCGTCGCCCCAGGGCGGTTCCCGGAGGTCCCCCGAGGTCCCAGGGGGTTCACAGGGGCCCAACACTTTGAAAAAACGCCGACCCATCGATCTTCGACGACGACGACCACCACCACCACCACCACCGCGACGACGAAAACGAAGACAACGGCCACGACCACAACCACGACCGCAGCGACGACGGCGGCGGCGACGACCACGACGACGAAAACGACGGCCACCTCGACGACGACGACGACGACGACGACGACGACGACGACGACGACGACGACGACGACGACGACGACGACGACGACGACGACGGCGACGGCGACGGCGACGGCGGCGGCGGCGGCGGCGGCGACGGCGACCACGACCACGACCACGACCACGACCACGACCACGACCACGACGCCGACGACGACGACGACGACGACGACGACGACCACGACGACGACGACGACGACGACGACGACGACGACGACGACGACGACGACGACGGCGACGGCGACGGACGGCGACGGCGGCGCGGCGGCGGCGGCGACGGCGACCACGACGACGACCACGACCACGACCACGACGCCGACGACGACGACGACGACGACGACGACGACGACGACGACGACGACGACGACGACGACGACGACGACGACGACGACGACACGACCACGACGACGACACGACGACGACCACGACCACGACCACGACGACGACCACGACCACGACCACGACCACGACGACGACCACGACCACGACGGCGACGACGACGACGACGACGACGGTGACGACGACGACGACGGCGACGACGACGACGACGACCACGACGACCACGACGACGACGACGACGACGACGGCGACGACGACGACGACCACGACGACCACGACGACGACGGCGACGACGACGGCGGCGGCGACGACGACGGCGGCGGCGGCCTGGGGAGGCGTTGGGCGCCGCCCCCGCGCTGTGCGCGCGGAGCGCCGCGGGGCCCTCCGGGGTTGCGGCGCCGCCCGCGGAGGCCGCCCGCGGCGGCGGCCACGCCGCCCACGAGGCCTTCGTCGGGGGGGGGGGGGGGCAGACGCCGCGGCGAGGCGATTTGAGGTTTGTGCAAAATGTACTGGGGAATTCCAGTTTTGCTCGCTTCGTACAGGTTTCGCTTGCTGAGGGGGCGCGCTGCTCGAGGCAAGAGCGTCGGGCAGAAGAGCGAAGAATGCCCCCCCAAAAAATGTCTGGTGCGGAAAATATGCCACCATTAACAGATTATTGGGCAGCGAGGCGAGAATCGTGCACATTGAAAAAAGGTTTTGCACTTTTGTGAACCTGGCTGCCCTGCTGCGGCCCGTTTGAAACGCAACACGCGGGGCGTTCCGAAAGGGGCCGGGCCTTCGAGGATCGAAGGAGTTGTCATCTCTTTCTCGGCGGAAGGGTGGCGGAAGTGAAACGAGGCCGCCTCCGCCGGCGGAAGCTCGGCGGAAGTGAAGGACGTGCCCGCAAGAGCTGAAAGCAGTTTTGGGTTCAGGGTTCCCGAAATCGCCCACGTGCCGTGTTGACAGCGTCCGTGTCGACACGCTGCGCGTTGGCTCGGCGCGAGTGGGCCCACGCTTCGGGCGAACGCCTCGGGCCATGTCCTGCGTCGTCAGTCCACGCGCGGAGCTCCGTGCCGGCAGGCTACGGGTTGCGTGTTGCGTGCAGGGGCAGCTGTGCTTTTCAACCCGGGTCCACCCGACGCAGTCGTTCGACGTTCGATCGTGGGCTCGGGGGGGAAGCCGCAGCGGCGAGGGCGTGCATCTGCTACCACCTGCGAACCCTTCAGCGGGGGCGTTCGTTGAGGAATGTGCCCAGGAGGCTGGCGACCCTGGAGGGTTCCTATCTGATGAGGCGGGCGGTGATATCCATGGCCGATCCATGAGTGGAGTTCCATTGGCTTCCAGACTCTGGATTCTTTAACTAAGAGCTCATGTTCCAATGCTGGCACCGTACCCCTGCGGGTCCACTCGACGCTGGGATGTCGGGCCTCCCCGCTGGGGTTCCTTTGGCTGCAGACACTTGCGTCTTGCTCACATGCTGCTCCCTCGTGCGGTCGTTCGGTGCTCGATCGATGGGCCCCTTGGGGGCAGGACGCAGCGGCAAGGGCATGCATCTGCGACTCGGAGCCCGCTGGGGGTCCGAGGTGGCCAGCAGGAAAGGCGGACAGGTTCGAGGGTCTGGGCTGGACCTGAACGGTGTTTTTGGCGATTTCTTGGGCCGTTCTCGTTTCGCCTTCGTTTTGCGGTAGAGGCTGATTCGAGACAAAAGCGAAGGAAAACGAAAACAAAACGAAAACGAAGAACACCGTTTAGGTTCAGCCCTGGTTCGAGGGTCTGGGCTCGGTGATGTTTTGTTGCCCCTTTCGGCCTCCAGGTGCCGTTTGCGGGTTCCGTGACCGTGAAAAACGGATCCAGGGTAAAAGCATTGCACCAGACAGGTCTCGGGGGGGACCCGGGGACCGATTCTAAGTGGATTTCGCCTCCTCCTTCCCTTCTGACCGGTTTGTTGGGGCCCCAACCAGTCAGACCCCCTGGCCGTTTGCAAGGTTCATTCGAGGCTGGGAAAGCAGGCACTCCCGCTGGGGTCTCATTTGGCTGCAGACATTTGGTAGGCTCCACATGAGCGATGGAAGAGAACGGGGTCGACTGTCGACATTCGCGCGTGAGCTGCCCGCGTAAGGTCGCGCGTAAGCGCCCTCGTTTCCGATGTAGCGTGCCGCGCTGGTGGCCCTCGTAAATCACCGCGTAAAGTCGCCATGTCATCTCGCGCAAGACTAGTCCCTTTTCGTCTCTCACATGCTGTTCCCTTATGCAGTCGTTCGGTGTTCGATCGTATTGGCCACGCGTCCAGGCCTCCCACAAGCGGGGTCCTGACGGGTGGGGTCGGAGGATCGCGGCGCATCGACGATGCCTCGGCGCTGCGGCTCGATGTAGAGCCCGATCTCCTCCGCGCCGACGGCGCCGACGCATCGGCGGGGCGTTGGCGATGTGGCGCGATCCTCCGAGGCCTCGGATGCCCTGGCATCGCTCGGACGTGTGCATCAGTTTGGCGGCGAGGACCATCGAGCAGCATCCTGGGTCACCGTGCGAGAAAATGCTCGCGTGGATCGAATTCGAGCAAAGGCACAGGGAGTGGACGTCCGAGCGATGGCTAGGCGCGGCCGTCCGCAGAGAGGAGCGTCAGAGAGATTGCCGAAGGCAGTGGGGGACCGCCGGGGGCCGCCGGGAGACCGCCGGAATGCGATGGAGAACAAGGGGCCCATGGTCGAAAGCGCAGCAGTCGGATTTGACTGGTATCGTCGGCGTCGACGAGGGGGGTGAAGGACTCGGGACGTGTGGATGCCATGGCTGGGGCCACGAGATCTCCTGGAGTTAATGTCCCTCTCTCTCTCTCTCTCTCTCTCTCTTCGCCCCAGCATGCAAGATAGCATGTTCCTAATGCGCTTATTATTATGATTCGTAGTGTTATCATTGTCGTTTTGATTAGTAGGGTTATCCTTGTCTAAGTATGCTTCGTAGCGTTATCCTTGCCATTATTATTATTATTAGTATTATTATTAGTATTAGTATTATTATTAATATGATTATTGTTATTATTATTAGCCTGTCAGCGCGTGCCCTGCCCCACCTAGTCCACGCAGATGCATCGGGCCATGATGCGCTACCCCCATCTTCCTGGCACCCTTCTTCGGCGCACCCGATGGTTGGTCGACCCTGAAGGGTACCTTGGTGTTTTGTTAATCGCGTTTCGTGTCTTCTTCACGCCTTCGTGTCTTCCTCACTCCTGGAACACAGGTTGCCCTCGGAAGAGACTTGTGCCTTCTCGGGCGTCCTCTGCAAGCAGTCTCGACTATAAGCTGTCGGGGAACTGCGTAGAGTTCTTTGGTTGGCGCTGGCCCCCCTGGCGGTGCCTCAGGAGCCGCCAGGGAAGCGGGCCCAGACATGCGACATCCTGATTCTTTCAGGACGGCGTCCCCGGAAGTCCCGACCCTTTCCCCGGGATTGGTTTCTCGTCCAGAGTCGTTTCTCGACGGTCCCGAGGCCCGTCGAGGGCCAGGGAAAGCCGCTCGGGCGTCCGAGCAGATGCGCGTTCACGACGTGCTCAGTGGCTCCTCTCCCTGCAGGTGTACCTGCTCGTCACGCGGCACGGCCTCTCCTGCAGCAACATGGTGCAGAA